TGTTCTGTTCCAAAATTTATCGTTCTTCGACAAGTGGCCGTTCGACCGAGGGCTGGTTCGACCGACCCACGGCCTAGATACGGACGGCTTGAAGTGTTGAAGGCTACGTTCCGGAAGGCAGGAATCATGATGGTCCATTACATCCAGGGCAGTGGTGGTCTTCGGCAGGCGACCCGATACGGACGGCTTGAAGTGCTGAAGGTTACGTCCCGGAAGGCAGGAATCATGATGGTCCATTACATCCAGGGCAGTGGTGGTCTTCGGCAGGCGACCCGCTTCACTCGCGCAGCTCATAGGCATCAAAAGTCCAAACGCAATGTGCATGGCGCGACTACACAATGCGTGCTACCTCGTAAATAGAAGTGAGTCGTATGGTGATATATTAAAATCGTACAAATGATTAATAAAAAGAAATTTATTTTGGGAACGACAGTTTCCTGTCGTTTACTTGAACAAGTTTAAGAGAAGCAACAGCCGTCTCATTAGCTGGGCCCTTATAGGCTGAGCCATTTACTCAGCCGTTACTCGAAGAGTAACTTCTTTAACTCCGATCAACTTTGTTACGCGTTTCGTTCGTCTTGCTTCTTAGTAGTTTTGTTGTTCGTATATACTAGTTCTTCAGAATTTTTTAGTTAGTGTTAGTATGTTGTAACCTCTGTTGATTTGAGTATTGCAATAATTGCCATTCGGGTAAGCACATACCCTTAATTTTAGTTAAAAATTAGGAGAGTCGTGTGAGGGCATGAGATCCAGTTTTATTGAACACTTTGTCTTTCATCCCGATACTGACTTCCACGCTAGGCTCTCTGCTAAATTTAGATCCCATTCTTCCACACTGGATTATGTCCAGGCAAGCCTTGCTTATTTAACTAATCACTCTTTTGACATGTCGGGCCTATGTGGCCGAACCTCCCGTCCCACAAGCTCTGGGGCCGGATTATATTATCAAAACATCGCTAAGTGCACGTAGCGACTTTCGTGTGGCGTAATTGCATGAAGACGTAACTTAGCTGATCACGTTTTCTATTTCTGTGCTTCCCTCTTTATTTTGTATAGCGTTGCGTCCTTACTTTAATTAATTGACCTTTGATACTTATCTTTAATTATTTGTTGATAAATACTTTGGCGTTCACTTATTGTTTTGCATCCATCCGAAATATTTACGAACCATAACCCTTGACAACTGATTTATTCACAAATTATTATCACTTTTTGGCTGTTAGGTATTCATATACGTTTCGTTCAAATCTGTTCAGTAGTTTAGAAGTAATTTCTTTTGATCCCTGCAAATTTAAGCAAATATTGCTATTTAAATCACGAATGAAGGTGAAATGGAAAAAACTTGGGAGTTAGGAATGTATATTCAGAATTTCATTCAAATCTGACGTCACACGTCAGATGACGTCAGATCTTGTGACGTCACAAGAGCCAAGGTGACGTCACAGTTGGAATAACAAATGATATCCGCAAGGCGCAGCTGCACCGGGGAAACCTTGTATTAGTGCAACCATGAAAAAAATTTACCTCATTAAAATGGCCCAAAAAATTTATAGACTGGAACTAGTCATATTTTAAGCAAAACAGTTGTTACAAATCAGTTTGAATCCCTCGGTAACGTGCCAAGTAGACGTCACAACGACCAAGGTGACATCGCGGGTGGAATAACAAATGACATCTTCAAGGCGCAGCTGCGCGTGGGTCAACCTTGTATTAGTTCAATCATGCTCGCACCAGTCTTCTATTTCTATTAGGACGCGACTGCGGAAACCTGGTAGAGACAAAGTGCTACGTCAAATGTTTTCCATTTGCTAATCCATTTGCCACGCAAACACTGCCAGCACAGCTGCGGTGCTGAAGGATTAGCGTGGATCATGAGCATTATATACGCCCGTAAGCTACCAGTGATGGAATGCTAAGAACAAAATCTGGCGATGCTGACAGACTGTTATGAGGAACATGCGGACGATGACCCTTCTAGCTCTTCCCGCAATGATCGCAAATTTAAGGAAATAATGTCGGCGTTGACGTACACGAACACTACGGTAACCTGACGATGCCTTTGCCATTTTATTCGTCCGACCCGCGATTCCCGAATAATAAAGTCGCAGTCTCTTATAGAACGGTCAATACTTTGATGAGAATGAAGCGCTCTCAGAAATCCTGGATCAGTGCCTAGAGAGCCATGATTAAAAGCTTCGAGGCCGGCCATGTTGCGCCAGTCCCTGACGAAGAGCGAGAACCTCCTGAGAGAGGCTTGGTGGCTGCCTGTGTCTCCCGTCAAACATCCGAAGAAAAACAGGGTGCGTCTCGGGTTTGACAGCACGGCTCCCGGCGCAGCATCGCGGAGCTAGTCTGAATCAATCAATATCCAAGGGTCCAGATGAAAAAATCGGCTTAAAGGCGGGATGCATAGATTTAGAGACGGCGAATACGGTCTCTCTGCAGAACACATGTTCTACAATTTCCACCTGCCTCCAAGAGATAAAGATTATCTTTGTTTTCTATTTTTACGGGCGGGCGGTAAATGGTGCACCATTTACGGGCGGTAAATGGTGCGACTGACCTGCGAGAGTGTGAAAGAGCGAAAGAGGTAAATGATCGACTGAATGAAGTGCCTGAAAGAGAAGAGATTGTAGCGGCTATGAAAGACATGAAAGAGTCGGCGCTTGGGGAAGATGGAGTGAGGATTGAATATTTACTAGAATTTGAAACAAGAACCAACACCAGGGGCCACGGCTATAAGCTAAAAAAATTACGCTGCAACTTCTCCACGCGACAAAATTTTTTCTCGCTTCGAATCACCGACATGTGGAATTGCCTAGCTCCTTATCGAACCCGGTGGAAGTCTAGTAGCTACTTCAAACTATCGCCATTCATGAAAAGATCCGATCAAATGATACGAGTTTAGATTTATGAACAAGGCACGAAAAGGAAAAGAATCGGCGACAGGCCACATCAGGCCTACATTTCAGCGCCGACATCATTATGTTATGTTATTAAGTGGGCGGATGAAGGAGTGAGAGACAGAGTGATTGTGACACAAACGTGTGCGGGCTCAACGGGGTAGGGAAAAGTTGACTTGCTTTTTCTCCCGTTTATTTCATTTACTTGAGTGACGTAAGCTGAGTGACGTAAGCTGGAAATAAGATTTAATATGAGTTAATAGGTCGAGATAGACATACATGAAACTTAAACTAAGCAGGAGGTAGACTCACATTGTTTAGACTTTAGATATTGTTTAGTACTGAACGTTATAGGATAGATGAACGTTCTTATTTGACTTCTCGATAACAAAATTACAACTGACATGACAGGAATTGTTTATGTAGGCATGGCCGCGATATTTCATTTGTTACTCACACGAGGTGGTTTTGGCAGGCGAGAAGAAGAGACGACAAAGTTGACGATAATTACGTTTAAGATTTCTGAGCTTCAATTAGTTAGGCCAGATATGTTGACGTTTAATTTCTTATGCTTAAATTTGCCAACGCTGAGTTGGGCTTCAATTACAGTTATAGCGTCAACGCTCGGTTGGGATTCGATTCCGATAATAGCGCCAACGCGGGGTTGGGCTTGAAATTGATTACTAGTATGACAGTGCCAACGCTGGGTTGGGTTTTGTTTACGATTAGTGCCAACGACTGCGGTTGGGCTTGGCCTACGATTACGGTACCTGAAATGATGAGATTAGAGATAAACTTTAGATGACAATATCTTAAAATTACCTAAAATGCTTCAAATTAAAGGAGACTGAAAGAAACGCATGTCGGCACTCGCCAGGAAGCAGTAAGGCTTGATGAGGCTGTAAGCGGAGAACGGAGTAGTATCCCTTAAAATTTTTTCTATGAGATTGTGTCGAAGAAAACAGAACGGCGTCTTTGCTACACATTCGAATGATTATAACGGCAATGGTGAGGCAAATAGCCTAGAAAATATCAAATCGGTACATTCAGTTATGCGACAAATAATCCGGTATTATTGCAGATTAACTACATCCAAAAAAAGGGTGTTTTTTTTTTTAATTATATGGGTATTATTGCAGATTAACTACATCCAAAAAAAAAGGTGTTTTTTTTTTTAATTATATGTTTTTTGGGGTGTAGATTACGAATCTGAAATCCATTTTTGGCGGTCGGCATCGGAAAACCGATTTTTTTCCGACCCAAAAATCGCGCTAAAAATGCCTAACCCGTTGCACTGCAACGGCTAAAGAAGACGAAAATGTTACCCGTTGCACTGCAACGGGTAACATTTTCGTCTTCTTTGTCCATAAACCTGGAGATACATTGCCACATCGAGAGATCACAACCTAACGCCAACTCGCAGGTTGGGTTGGTTCGCCCAGGTTCCTTTTAGATCAAAATGCTATCTAAAAAAAGGAACTTGGCTGACTTAACCCAACCTAAGAGCTTTTTGTAAAATTTCGATGAACAATCCGACCCTTTATATTTTAGGGGGAGGACAGTAGGTCTGTTTAAGTATGGTGAATTGAGATATACAAGTTCATCCTCTCCCTATTGTTTGTAGTATATAGGCATCACGTGGGGCTTGAGTGAGACTCAGAAGTAAAATTCGGTCCAAGTGCAGTAGGAGAGCGAGCAGAAGTGAGTCATGGCAAATAGTTAAAGGTCCAGAAGTGGGTCAATATGACCCACAAAAGCCAAAAGTGAATCAAGGAAGTAGATCAGTTTTGGGACGGGCCATGACTCACCTAAGTGGGTCATCCAGACCCACCCATTTCTCTCAGTGTACACAGTTTAGGCGGGTGGATGGTCCATAGATAGAACTCGAGATGCATTTTCAGTTTCACTCGACATGCAATTGTAATAAATGATGCCATTTAAAAAAATGTTTCAGTCACTTTTTCACAGTTAGGTAATAGCCAATTTCACATTTCAGAGGAAATTTTAGATTATCAACTTTTCAGAGGCAATTTTCACAGATTGGCAGCTTACACTCGGGGGCAATTTTGAAGATTAGCAGCAAGTTTTCACAAAATTTTTGTTACTTGAATTTTAGAGATTAACAATGCTGCGAGACAATATGAATACACAGTATACACTCTGAGGATGGCAACACCGATCTCAATACAGTACTGCATGAGAAAAATTATTTCTGCACCGGTTTCACTAAAATTGTATAGAATTTCACTCACTCACTGCTTATGTTCAGGCTGCTGATATTGAGAGTTTGAAGTTTCAGGTGCTGATGTTTGTTGTGCCTTCCTTTTCAGTCTGGTCTTGACCCTGGAGAGTTGAAGTTCCACGTGCTGATCTTTTCTAGGCAGGACACTTGAGAAGGGTGATGAGATGATGTTTCTTGAATCTTGAGTGTATAAATAACAAGGGAAACTGGGAAAGTATCTTGTGAATTGTGAAAAGGTTGAATTATTCAGATTTGCCAGGATCAGATTGCATGAAGAATATTATAGGTAGGCAGATAGGTTAAGCAACAAAATTGTGAGTAGGATAATGAAGATTCTGGTCTGGCCGTTAGAATTCTGGGTGTTGAAATAATTTTTGATTGGGCCCTAGGGGTTTTTTCTTCCGGGGTGTTGAAATAATTTTTGATTGGGCCCTAGGGGTTTTTTCTTCCGGGGTGTTGGTCGGCAAGGTTGGATTTTATTTCACAGTGAGAAGTTGGTTCACAGATCACAGTTGGGTGTTCATAGCATAGGGGTCGCCACTTTAGGGATTTAGGAGTGAGGGCAGTTTAAGAAGTGTGAATTGTGATATATATAAGTGGTAACAGCTGTTCCTCATCCTCTCCCTATTGTTTGTAGTATATAGGCATCACGTGGGGCTTGAGTATTGAGTAAGAATCCAAAGGTTTAGTATGTTTATTGATGGGATGAAGAATGACGGCACGACCAACACCTGTGTACAAACATGACATAAACAAAAATGGAATAATGTTTAAAGATATGAGTACAATGGTTATTCGATATTTTGAGGTTGAATAGCTATCTGACTTTGATTCAGAAAGTTTACTAAGCATAACACTGACACAAAGCAGCAGAAAACATTTAGAAATATTGAGAGCAAGCCATGATATAGTTCTCACGGTTACACTTTGAAATATTTAATTACAATTGGCTAAATTTAAATTTAATGATCGGCTGAGCCTCTTACCCCGGAGTCCGGACCAGATGTTAACACCACGGCGTCGTCTAGAAAATGACTTAGCTAAACAATGCGCGATTGGCAGATGGTTCTCCACTGGCGTTCTTACGAAATTTTCACAATATTCTTTTAAGTACGATGTAACAAAATATTTTCGACATTTACTAAACTTCATCATTCCGTTATTACAAGAGTGTTATTCGTACTCGAAAATTGATGATTAACTACTGTATATTTTATAATGGTTTAAAGGTGAAATTGATGAAATCCGAAATACGTAATCGAGATCATGATAATTAAGTAAGATATCGTTACAGAGGTCGATAATCACGAGTTTAAAGGTTTAATACAATTAATTATGACATTCGAGAGAAATGCTAGTGCGAGATGTGATCGAGTCACTACAAGATTAACGAAACTTCGCTAAGTTCACGTAACTTTTCGTACTTACGTTCAAAAAGTTACGTATGGCGTAAGTCAGTCAAAATTTGGCATTAACAAAACTGTCTTACGCATGACTCATCTGAAAAGGTATTATCGAAACCATACAACTAACTGACCAATCAGAGGCTTTGAATTTGCTGTTTCTAACTTCCTAGCTCCTGACTCCTGTCGACTCAGTGCGCAGAGCGCGTGGATGGAAGGAGGTTGTGCCGTGTCAGCGGCATCAGCGTAGACTGACTAGGGTGCATATGGAGAAATAAGTGTGACGTTATCCAAATAGCAATGCACTTGTTGTTGTGATCATTCATCAAAATTTCTTGCAATCAGGGCAAAAAAAATCTATTACAATTCAACTTGCTGCTAGTAAATTAATAGTCTCATATTGCTTCAACACTCAAAATTTGTACGTAACTCCGCTTACGACACCTCCGAGCAGGCGTACAGTTATGCACAAATTTTTGTACGTAGCTTCCCGCTCAAATGTTTCGATAATAACACTCAGTAGAGTCACGTCTACTTAGCTGTACTTACGCTAAACGTTAGCGGCTACGTATACTTAGCATGTTTTGATAATCCGGCCCCAGAACACAATTCGGTCCTGGATAAGGCAGTTGGATGCAACTGGTAGCACACTAAGACAAGATACACATGGCCGACGCAGGTCCATCAGAACACCAGAAAATGTCGAGGGTGCGAGCAGCAGTCATTCACTCGCAAGACGTTCTGCACCAAGGCATGCCGTTGCGTTGGGAATCTCCTCACGCAGTTTGAGCAGGATTCTGCATAGGGATTTGCATTTCAATCCCTACAAAATGAATAGGGTCCAACAATTGAACGAAGCACACATTGCCAGCCGCCGAAATATGTGTGAGAACATGCTTGAACAGATTGCTCCCGACGAAGCGTTCTTCTGCAGTGATGAGGCGCATTTTCACCTCAGTGGGACTGTAAATAAGCAAAATTTTCGTTACTGGGCTGAAGATAACCCGCAAATTATCCATCAAAGACCACTACATTCTCCCAAACTAACGGTCTGGCACTCTGACTCTCAAGTTCATTATCAAATTCCTCGGAAAAATCTGAAGAGTCTTCATGCAAAGCCAAGATGTCATTTAATTTGTTCGTCGAATGATTTTACGTTTGACAAGAGATCTTTAATGGATGCAACAGCAGAACTCACTGCTGATTCAGGCGATTCTTCCAGCTTCTTAATTAATTAAAGCAGCATGGTGATCTGACGCTTACACACGGTCCTACTACGCCTCAGCTGCGTCAAGCCGGCAGCGCAGCCGTGCACCACCAATTTTGTGCACCAATAAACCCTGAATCGAACGCCTTGGATTTCTCCGGACATGCACCAATCAGCCGTGAACCACTCGGTTTTGTCCTCCTCCTGCCTTGCATAAAACCTGCCGTGCACCACCAGGCCGCGGATCGAATATGACTTCCGTGCGTAGTTTAATTACGTAATTTTACGTTTACCGCATCCGAGGTTAGGTTTCAGATAGCATAGTTCTGTTCCAAAATTTATCGTACTTCGACGAGTGGCCGTTCGACCGAGGGCTGGTTCGACGCACAGCCTATGGTGGTCTTCGGCAGGCGTCAAGCCAACCTCGGTTTTTTTCCGGGTCAGACGTCGCGGCAAATTAGGAGTTCTGCTAGAAAAATGGATTCATGCAAGTACACAGGATTGAAATGAGAGAAGCCCGTGACTGACAAATAGATAAGAATTATATTGAATTTGGGTACAAATGAAAAGAGACGATGAAACTTTTATTAGAACGTCCAAACGAAGTTGACCGCAGACACCAACAGGGAGACGATAAATCAGAGGTTCCAGTTACTGCGGAAATCTATGTTCCAAAATATTCTAATATAGCGCACTAAATCAGAATAAATCATCAACTGAGAACGTACCTATTTGTTTCCAGGGAAAGAAACCATAGCAAGAGTGCTCATAAAGAGAACTATTAGAAAGTATAAAAAATTGAAAATAGTATAAGGTGAGTTTGCACGTATTCTACTAAAGGTGATGAGGGTAGCAGTTATGGGCATGCAAACATGCGAAGTTAAACATGCTGGAAAGCTATAGCTGTTGCTGAAAGCTTTCAGCATGCTAAACATGCTGAAAGCTGTTGCGGTAGGGCCTGTTGCGCTCCGGCCAGTTGTGCTCCGGCGCTGTGAACCAGTGCTGTGACTGAACGGCGCTGTTGTGGTGGGCGCTATTTGTCCGTAAGCCGTGAAGATGCCCGGCTGCGTTACGCTCGGGAAGGTATATGGGGAAGGTATATGTATCGCACTGTGGACTTGGGCTATGCTGACCTCTAGCTATCCACCCTTACCCTGCAGTGGGCACTGGGTAAAAGGCCATGCTGGTATTCGTGGCAATTAGGTGGCTGGCAGGGTTGCACAGCTGGGCCACACTTGACTTCAGTGTACTCTCACATGTCGAACAATCAGACCGTCTGAGCTGCCTGCGAAGGGGACTGCATGAGTGCTGGTTAGACTCTTGTATGACCGATGTAAGGGCAACAGGGAAGGGTGTCCACTTGACTACAATGGGTGGTGGTTTTCTTCCATGGGTGTTTTTCCCGACTCTAGTCGTAGGGCTGCTGTCAGCCTGGCCCGTCTCCGTCTGCGCCATGCAGGCCTGGGTGCCCATCTGTATCGATTTGGTATGTCACCCTCTCCAGTGTGTGACCACTGCAACGTGGAGGACACCATTGAACACTTCCTTATTGATTGTGTACTACACTTGAAGCCCGAAGAATACTTGAAAGTGCTGCGGACCCCCGTAGGGTTGGCCCCCATACAGTGCGAGACCTGCTGGGTGGAGGAGACTTCACACGGAACACCCAGTTTGCCATTGCAAAAGCTACGGGTTAATACATCAAGAGTACCGGACGCCTAAATAATCTCTGAAAGCTGGTCAAGACTGCCTTGAAACAATATATTTCAAACTAAGTAACCCGTTGAAGATCGTTTGATAAATCCAGGTGCAACAAGTGCCCTGTCGAAGGTCATTTATGCAACATCAAAACGGACTACAATACAATACTCCCACAAGTTCTCGACGCCGCCATCCGAGCCTGAGCGGCTAGAGCCTGCCGGTCGGTCCCTCGCTCCTATTCTGCCTATACCGCGCATAATATGAGCGCGTGGGGTACGGACTGCTCGAGGCATCAGTGAGCAAATCCAAGGAATTAAAGATAACAGACACGTGTAAGAAATTCACGACTCCTGATAATTTGATAGTCTTTATTATTTTCAAGGTTGCATTGCTAACCATGAGTAAACTAAGTACCACATGTGGGAATTAACAACCTAGATTGAAACTTTTTCCAACACAAATGTGGCAGCGTTGCTTGTAATGAGAGCACTCCATGTGGTGTCAATAAATTTAAGACAGTCTTGTATTATTTAGGCAGTGACTGTCTCATGTGAGGACAGTGAGGGGAGTTAATTTTCCCCCTTTTACCATACTATTCCTATTTTCCTTCAGAGTGCCGCCCATGGAATAGGGGGTCACGTTTTTTATTAATAATAATAATAGCGGTTTCAGCGTTTATTAGGCCGTAGGCCTGTCGCCGATTCTTGACATCGCCGAACATTCACAGCATTTTGTGGTCTCGAACTCGCAACTCACAGAGACAATTCTGCTGTGCTTTAATTAACTGCCCGGCCTCCTCGCCGATTCTGACCAAAAACTGGCGCACAGAGCTGGGATCGAACCCGCGCCTCTCTGCGCCAATCTTGGTACTCTGAACTTTAACCACTGGGCCACCCTGATTCTTGTTTGCATGTTCAGAATCAGAGACCAGAGTAGAATGCTTCCTTGTCAAAAGAAGCTCCAGATAAGTGAGATAACCCCATCCAGCAGTGTGGAATTCTAGAGGGGTATTAAATTGACCAGTACACATAGCTTATTGGAGGTATTGGCTAAAACCCGGACCCTGACCGGTCCGCCGGACACGGACCAAGTGACGAACTCGAACCGGTCCGCCAGATCAGGTTCACACAAATGAAAGGCTGCAAATCATCTGAAACGTCGCGATAGCTTTTAATTTTGCATATAAAATTTTCATATTTACCTAGAAAAATTTCGTCGCACCAGCATATGAGGGTCGAAGAAAATTGAATTTTTCGATCGAACTAATCAATAAAGAATGTTCTGAAACGTCCAGAAAACATACAAATTTTTTATCGAATTTTTGTCAATTTACTTAGAAAAATTTCTAATCAGGCCCGGGGGTAAGTGCATTATTCGATCGAACTATTCGACGGAGAATGCTCTGGAACGTCTAGAAAACATAAAACATTTATATTGAATTTTTGTCTATTTACTTGTATGCGTGTTTGCTGCCTTATATAACATAACATTATTAACATAGTGATGTCAGCGCTGAAGTGTAGGCCAGCAGCCGGATTATCAAAACTTTGTAACTTTTTGTACTTACGACAAAAAAGTTCTGTGGTACGTAAATACACCCTAATTTTGGCATTATCAAAACTTTCGTACGCAAGTCTTAGCTAAAAGCCTAAATTTTTTTCCTGCGCAAATTTTTCCCGCTCAAATGTTTTTATAATTCCACCTTTAGTATCTTGTTTCAAATTCTAGTAAACCTTCGGGGACCTTGTATAAACCATGAGTATACTTGTACATATACTTCAACGAGGTCCCCACGCAGACGTCAATAACTGAGGCTTGGTAGCTTCATAATCTTTAATCTTTCTTCATAGGACTTGCCCTTCAAGCCTGGAATTATCCTTGTTGCATGTCTCTGAACATTCTCTAATAAATTTTTGTC